ACACTACTAAAAACAATTTACAGAGATGGAAATTTTGGATCGACGGACGTGCCTCTAGAGAGAATATACGAGCTAGATAAATCGCTATTTTTTGAAAGTACAAAAATTGAGCTTAGAATTCGATGGGTAACGAATTTTTGCCATCGAAAAAAAATCTAGGTTAGACTCCCGGACTGTACCTATCTATTTATCGAGTCAATATTTATAAAGGATGGCCCTGAGCCCTCTGTTGAAGGATAAGCCATTACTAATAGCTTAATTAAAATTGAACAACATAAAATACAGAGTTCTCGCTTATTTTACAGCAGCTAATTATAACCGTTATTTATTGAAGAATTGAATTTGCGAACGACGAAATCTTAAGCTGACGACGCTGGCGCTACTATGGGGCTATTAAGCTAGGTTTTTTTTTTTTTATTTCGTGAGTTTGTCAAAAAATTCGTTCCGAAACCGTAGCTCAATACGCGAACACCAGTTGCTCGTACTCTTAGCCAATTGCCGCGCGTATTATGTGATGTTTATGAACAGACAGGCAATAAACATCTGATTTTTGAAAAAAACCTGCTGCGTTATGTGGCTCGAACTCGATACCCCTAAGATATCCGTTTGAAGTATAGCCATTACGAATAACAAGATCTAGATTGAAAAGTAGCCTTTTTTACATAAAACTGTGCTACACAAATTACAAATGATGAAGATATTTGAAAAACGCCTTCACAACAACAACAACAGTCAATATCTAATTAATATAAGCATCTTTAGTCTAACCAATAGGAGGAGATGGGGACACAAAAACCAAATTATAGCCTCCTCACAGAAAGTAGCTGAAAAGATTTATTATTTTGCCATTGACAAAATCTAGGAAGGTTGGCTAACGAAATTTGAAATATCATTATATACTATATTTACCAAGAGCGCTTTAGATCTCGTGTATCGTCGGTGTTTTTTTGCTCCTCAGCTTTTCTTCTTGGCTTAAACGACCCTATTCTGTCTCATATATATCGCAAGCTCTATGTCGATGACCTGAAACCACTTAAAGGACCCTGTTAGCAGACAGCAAACACAGAAGCCCATAAATAAAGTAGAAAAAATAATGGCGCAATAGCCGTATGGTCATATTAGCACTATAACGGTATCTACTTAGACGGACGATAACCTGCGTGTCGTTGTAGAAATGAAACAGTTCTAAAACATGGGTCGGTCAGAAGCCTGGCAGTTATGATCTCGATAGACTTACGGCTTGACGCGTAGTTTGTCCTAAGTGCCACATTAATAACTAACTAATATGCTGTTGAAAAATTTTACGGCTTCATTTGGATAAATGTCCAGTTGTTCTTGAACTGTCTTAGCCTATTTCTTTTAACTTTGAGCCAGTATACGCGTTCGGCTGAAATCCTTGCACAGAGCCCGCAATCGATTTGAGACCAGCGGCCGACAATCCTCCCAACCCACGTGTATGAATACCCCGAAAGCTATGAAAATGCACAATCACATGGGGTCTAAGAACGATATCGAAGAAAGCTAGTTCCTTTGATAGCGGAGTATTGAAATGGCTGCAAAGCCTGAAAACGATTGTTGCGCGAAGTATTGTTCGAACAACATGGTGAAATAATATGCTTTCTTGGAAGATATCTACATACGACAAGTAATTGGTTGCGACGTAGAGAATACGTCTGCGTCTCTAATTTTAGATAGTGTGTTTTTAAATATAGTAATTATGTCATATACTTACACTTGATGTCTTTCAAACAAAGGAGCATCGGAACTTAGCAAGTACCTTAGCTCGATGACACCAGTAAGGGGAACGAGTAATGAAGTTACCCTTGCGGTTTTAGACGAGTATATTCCAAAATAGTTGTCACTTGCTTTTTGCTCTAGAATCGGGGAATTCATTCATCGAAGCCTTCAGCTACGAAGGTTATTGGATGTGTAAAATCGTATTCTTAACTTATAACTTTTCTGCACGATGTATGGTTATTATTAAATTATACACGCAGATTCACTATGCCGATATATATATATATATATATAAACATACCTAATATATCTAGATATCCAACATTTTTAAGGTAAACATGTATAATTTACCAGCTTAATATATCAACAATAGTACTTTTACATCCATAGTTTGTAGCATGAAGATGCTTTACGTGCAACATGTTTATCCAGCAGGCGCGTTAAACGACTTCGACACGTTATCCTCACGCTTTCCTTACGCCATGTCCTTCTCCAACGTCGTTTCGATGATATAATCATAACTGTAATTATCATTGCTACAGTAATAATGCTAGTATAATGGTATTTTCGCTTAACGCCCAATAAGCGTCCCATCTAATCGTGGTGATATTATGGTAGGCGTGTTTTTTTTTTTTTGATATTTTTGCTCGTGTTGTCCGTGAATGTAATCGTTACATTGGTGAAGGGAACGCCGTCATTCGAATGGATCGGAAAACGGAAATCAAACAGACAGAATGAATACTACAGACACATATGAAACGTTCCGATAACGGGAACGATCTGGGAGCATTGAATTTTTCCGTCCGAAATAACGATGGCAAGCCGGTCTGTCTTCTGTTAGTCGCGCGGAACTCAGTTTGTTCGCCTTTCAAATTAGCTAGTAAGGGCTCGTTTGAAGAGCTGATTTAACTGTTCATGTATGGCCAGAGGCAGGTAAATGTTCATTAGTTCGTAGTAAACAACACACCTCAATGCCTAATTACTATAGTGAGCTTTGAGGTTACTTTTGGATGTCGTCCGCACTCCAGTGTTGCACTTTTACTCGAGTATGATCGTTTCCTTATGTCTACGATCCTATACAATAGTTAATCTAATGTTAACATGACTTATCTTTCTTCTTCAACACAAGGGGGTGCCAAACTGTGTACAGATAATTAGGTATATAGGGCAAACCTTATACGTCGAAATCATTCTCAAATCGCGTTGACGAAATCACCGTCAGCTAATATGCTTCTACCTAACCCTAACTTTCCTTTATGCCGCGATCACCAGCCCCAGTAACCTATCCAGGTTGTCCTCGGTACCATTTCGATTGCGTAGCATAGGAAGCGTGAATTCTGGCAAGAAACCCGTATCGTTGCTGCTCGCCAACGACGTAAGGAGGGAAAATGCAACGTTGAGCTCCTCCCCGATTAGACCCAGTGGGAAGCTAATGAGCAGGACAAAATTGCGAGCCGAATGAACGATGATAAGGGCAAGACACGGCAAACGTGAGGGAAGCTAGCTACATTTAACGGATCAAGAACATGACAGGATGGGAACTGTTACTACATGACTAGGTATTGACTAACAGCTTCCGTTTACTATTTACCTACCCTACTAATGTACAAAACGTACTAGAAAGTTGATCTAGTGGACTGGAATTCAATGTGCTAGACGAACACAATAAATAACATTGTGGATAGTCAAAAAGGGTGCATGGTAGGTAGATACGATGAGAGAGCCAGCCGTCAACTAGAGAGATCTGAGCACGAGGATTAGCATGAGCTGCACTATAGCTACGCTAAGCGTATGATAGAATAGTTTTCGAATAGAATATTATTAAACATACGAATTCTCTTCGAAGTTCCATGGATCGCAGTAGTCGTCGTCGTCCGCAACAGACCAAAGAGCGCTAAATGGCGGAGCGTACGTTGTTTGCACTAGTGTGCGTGCCGATCATACGCATATTTTAAGATATAGATTAGATAGATACCTTTTCGAGATTATTCTGCAGATTGAGATATGAATGAATGTAAATAAGAACTGAAGCTATTGAAATCATTTGAGCTGATTTAGAAATCCTGTATCTATATATAGTATGCTCAGCCTGTGGTACGTCTAGTGTTTGCCTGCCTGCCTGCCTGCCTGCCTGCCTGCCTGCCTGTGTAGGACGGGAGTTGTTGACCGGTCACGAACGGGATAGTTCACCTTACTTGACTTCATGACGTCGCTGTGACTGCGGTATGCGGAAAAGAACCGTTGCACGATAGAACGGCCGGCGGTCTACGCGAACAATAATAATAACAACAACAACAACAACACTTTGTTAACGCTGCGGCAGAAGCTGCTGCCGTTTTTGTTTGCGGCCTTTGATCAGCCACCATGATAACTATGAAGGACACGACGATGCAACAGTGATCATCGACAGTAAACGAAGAGCAGGGCGTATATGTACAGATGCTCATGGCAAACGAACGGAAGGCAGTCAAGTATGGCCGGCAGGCGATGGCCTTACAGGCATCGCCGCAGCGGTAGTAGTCATGACTTCGTGAGTGAGGCGCGCGATCGGGCGGACATTTAAAACCAACATCGATTACGGCAGCTACAGAAATAAGAACAACAGCGATAGTAGCACCAAATAGCGTGGTCATCTTCGTACCAAGTTTTTTTTCAGCCATCAAAATTCTAAATAGATATATGTGAATGCATGCCTAATAGCTGTTTAGTGTTACTTTGTCGTAAAATGCTTTTCACTCAAAAGTACAACGTTAAGATGCGGTCCGGTAACCTCAAACGGTTAAGGTCGGAGCTTTCTTCGTAACAGGGCTTGTTTGCGTTTATGGACGTATTTGCCATCTTGAAAGTATTAGAATGTCGCCCGCCTGCCATACGGAGCGTCATCTTCAACGAATACAGTCTCCTCGAATATGATCCAAAATCTCTAACTTCTCTACTTCAAATCCAAATTATTCACAGATAATGCAGATAATTGAGTCAAGGCTTGCTTAAGAATATTTTCGAAACTTACAATTGTCTTCAAATCTCTACTAATATTGTAACAAAGCTTTATTAGTACTTTACAAGCTTTTTTTTTTTGATAGGTTAATCTGTGTCCCGATAGTCCTAAACTCTTAACTGGCATCTTTCAGTATTTCTAAATAAACGACAACAACGTTTCAATGTTAGTTCAATTTAAGACATTTCACAGTCTCGAAGTTTTTCTGCTTCACACTTAACAGAACACTCACGTAACAATGGTGTTTTGTCATGCGTTCTTCCAGATACCATTCTTGTGTTAGGCGCAAGTCGAGTGCCGATGTCGTTGGATCGCGGCCGGGCTACAGTCTCTCTTGACGTTGAAATCCCACCTCCAGCTGGAAAGGACTCCGAAGTAGTAATACAGCTTTTAGAGACTAGGGGCTGCCTCGCACACCCTTCCACGAAAAGGATCATACCAAAGGAGAAACTCAGGAGTGCTCTGGTGTTCGAACACACTCGCTACACCGTTCAGGAGCCAAAAGATGGCAAGGTAAGTTTGAACTTGAAAAAGCTGTTTATCAATAAACAATTATTTTTCAGTTACAATATTACGGCAATTGGCGGATAGTAGCTTTAGGATTTTTGTTTTCATAACAGCGTCAGAGACCCAGCTTGAAGGCGACGACGCTTCTCAATATAATCCGCATCAAAATTGTATGTTATCTATAATAATCAGCGTTCGATCCCTGGAACAATTAAACTTGAGGGTCAGTTTTATGTCGTATACGACGCTACGCAATATAAACAAATCAGTCGAACGCGCTAGTCCGGCAAAAAAAAATAGATCACTGTATTGTAAAATCGAGCGTGAAATAGATTGATTTTTAGAAACGTTTTGTATGTTCTATTCGTTTTGTATAGTTGTCGTCATAGAGTTTGGATCTATAACTGCTAATAGAAATACTCATACGCCTACACGTATTTAAATGTGCCAAATAAATAAACGTCCAACGTAGACCGAACCTGCTAATGTTAAGTACGGTCGAGTGGAGCTGATTTACATAATGGACGCGTATAGAACCGATAGGGGAACGCTGCATCATCATGTAATGAATTAAGATTTGTCAAAATACGCCGTAGTATTTTTACGGATCGCGTATGTCGAACATAACAAGCGTCAGTTATACAGGGGGTGCCGTTAAAGTTATCCTATATAGTCGAAAGCGATCCGATAAAATAGCTGAAAATAGTAAGTACGGTATCGTTTCTCGTGACGAAACGTTCATTTTATAATATGGAGTGGATATTCCTTGAAACGTTGCTTAATTTCAGTGCGTTAATAATGTAAGCTGCCTTTAATAAATGTTTGTTTCTTCTCCGCGGGGGCCTCGTGTTTATTAATTCGAAAAGTTCGATTCTGACGAGACGGCAGAAGCGACGGCCGATCGCTTAAAGCTTCGAGAGCTGCTATTCAATTTGGTATAGCCGCAGCCTCCAGACGGTTTAGCAGAGGGTAACTCCGTCCTCTGGAAGCAGCAATGAAGGCACAAACGTAATCCATAAAATTGGAATAACAATAGATGTCTTGTGAATCCTTCCAACTGAAAAGAAATTAAATTATCTATTCAAACGCAACAAGGCTTAGTGAAGCCACGTATTATTTACTTCAAATAATTACAACCACAAACAATCCGTATAAATATTAATAGAAGAATTTTAATACTTCTAACTTTTAAGTAGCACAGATGCCACTCACGGAAAACGTATCGTAGAATTGTCTCGTTTGACCTCACTAAACCCAACTGATGCGTGTCTCTGTATATCAATATCGAAAATGCTGCATGTAGACTATAAATAAACTCGCTTCTGGACCGTCGTTACTACTGTCAGCAGGACACATAAATGGCGCCGCGCAGGACGTATTTGGCTCATTGTCACCAGTGAATGACGATATGTAGAGGCTACCTAGACATAGACATAGACACCTAGAAGGTGAAAACCTTGTGAGGACCTAAAAGCATATTGAGTACTGCTGTGTTTACCTCGTCGTCATTATAGTGGTGTTCGAAAGGGTATCAAGCCATGTTTAACAGCAATACCGAACATAAAGCTCTTAAGCCTTAAAACGGACCATTCAGGTACACTGTTCACACAAGGGGGCGTCGTAGTTCAAGCGCTTTTTATTCCTCATCTGTGGCAGATTAATCGTACAGCATACTTTACACGTAGATCTGAGGGCGGACGTTTTTGCCTTCCGTTTCCGAGTTGATTTGGCATTTGATGATTTCCTAGTTCCGAATGGAAAGACCTCGATAATGATTGCAAAGATAAGAACAATCAACGATCTGTTCGCTTCTAGCTTTCGACGGCCACAGTATCGTTGTGACAGCTCCTACCAATAGTAACATAAGAGTCATCAAATACACCGTGTCAAATGTAATATTGCTTGTTTGGGACTGGATAGTTTCTTTAAAGGAAAAAAGTGTTCAACTTAATTTTTAGGGGTCTTTAATACGTGCCTGCCCAATGATGAATCACAGTAACGTTCTCCATGGAACTGGACAATGTTTGATCTTTCAGTCTCTTCAATAACATCAGGTATCACATAATCGGCATAATTAGACCTAACGATTGCCTGCGCGGTTCACGGTATCATCATTTTATTGTCGAGCTAAAATTTGGAAGGACTCGAACTCTATACGTGAAGGCTACGATGACGCGGCTCGTATGATTTTAGATTGGATAAATTTATCGGCTAGGGGTGTTTTGTTCATCTTTACAGGTTATTGCATAACTACGGATCGCTATTTGCCCCACTAGACGCATACGAAGGTAAAATGTAGAGAAAAAAAAAAGTTTTTTTTTTTAGCTGACGCACGCCGTACATTTGTGCAAGTAATATATCTACTCTGATCATTTGGTGTAGTAGTCGCTCTCAAAATGACTAGAATTAACGAGCCATTGGTTGATTTATCAGAAACGCAGTAGAACAATCTGCGTATTTCGATTTAAACGTATAGTTGTATACAGACAAACACATTAGCATAGATGCGTTTGGCCAAGATAAGTTTATTTTATCAGCGTTTATCGTAATCGTCTGTATAATCAAAACAAGCAGAACTAACCCCCATGATGTTTATCATGTCACACGAACATATATGGCTCTGTAGATGCTTTATGAGGTCAGTTTGTCGATTATCATTTTACCAAAGTTGCACATAATCTAGATATAATTTCTAGCTAACTAAAACCACACCACCGATCCTAACTGTGGCACTTGATAACACGTACTAAGCCGTTTTGAAGCATAAATTAAACATACACAAAAGGAAATTCACAAGTCTTTTGTCTGTATAATTAGCTAAGTTTCACGTGAAGAGGTTACTTGATTGTAAACTTTCATTGGAACCACTACATCGCCTACACTGCTATGTGTCATAGGTAATTACTCTTAAGGAACGCCGTTGACTATGAGCGTCGCAATACGAAACGTCCGTAATAAAAAAAAAAAAAAAAAAAAAAAAACTAAGAATTACTTTAAACCAGTATGTGAAAAAAACGTTTGTAGCAGCCACATAGGGCAATTGTATGTTCTGAGGTGAGAAACCTAACAAGTTCGAGCCATGCGGACGAACCGATAGCGGCTGCTAAAGGGCACGCTTCAAGTTGATACTGTATTTAGTGAGCTAGTATGGTATAAGGCGCTTACTTTTCGAAAATCATCCTATAGTAGATGTAGCACAACTTAATTTCCTGTACATTGTATATCTGTGGTAGGATATGAGAAAACACTATTATTATTATTTATTATGTTCAGTTATTAGACATGGCGTCGATGTCATAGCAGCTCATCACATTAGATATAAATTGTTAGTTTTTTTGTGCAATCACCTTCGTGATAGTCTAACGCTAATGACAAAAAAAAAAAAATAAAATAAAACTTGTCAAGGCGGAGGTACCCTTCTTCTGCGTGTGCACTCCCACTCCTTTATTTCCTCTTGCTAAAGATGCGCAGCTGGCGAGCTAGAAAACGGGTATGAGATTCGCTCGAAGAGGAGGTAAGGTTATGTTAGCGGAAAGGCTGTTCATAGTCTCTACTGCCCATCCCTGTCGGTCCGTCTGTCCGTTCGTTTGTGTGCGCACGTGTGTCTGCGTCAAGCTTATATTGGCTCCCCCACCTCATACCCCCTTCTCTATCAGGAAAACTCGTGTCCAGATCCTGCCCATTTGCCACGGGCAGTACAGCTTCTTAAGTGACCCTTCCTGAACACTCAGCATAAGAATAATATAAGACGTAATGATAGCTCTTAAAGGAAAGGTAACTTGGGTGGGACGGGCAACGTGCTGGGACGGCTTAAAGGTGGGTCCGCGATCTTTCATTGGAAAACAAACTCACCGAGAAAAACAGCAAGAAATCGGCCAGGAAAGAAGAGCAGCACAAGGGCGGGAGACTTATTTCTTTGAACAGAAGAACCAGATGGTAATGGGCCCTTGCTGACCATCTTCTTTTTCTTATCTCCTTAGTGTTTTTATTTGACAGCTCTCTTTAGATGTGCGTCATACAGGTAGTTTTTCCGACTTAAGTATTCATTCATTTATCTCGAAATTTTGCTTTTCTTACAATTGGGCCAACAAACAATTTGTCGGCGTATCCCTTCACACAAGAGACACACCCGAATATCTGCGTTTAACGACTCGTAATTGTTTATAGCTACTAAGTCACTGGCATCAGTTAATGCCACAGGGTTTACGGTTTATCATGTCATTTCATAGGGACGTTCCACTACAAAGGATAATTATGTACTACGAATTCATTGTTTCCTTCGTTAACCGATTATTCGGATCTCGCCCGGTTAACGCTGTGGTCTGACCCTTGGTAAGGGAATGCGGGCAGCCAGTTTATAGGCAGCTTTTAGTGATGGCAGTAGACTTTTGCAATTTTGCATCGCTTTTACAGAGGGTCTACGTCAACTCTTTTCGAAACAGGAAACTGGTGATATTCGTTATACGCCTTATACAGTTACCTGACTGCAGCTAGAGTATAAAGCGGCTATTTTCAGTGGACGCCAAGGTCGGTTCTTCAATGCAACACGTATATAGAGCTCTTAAGGTCATATATCCAAATCGCCGTTGCCAGGTTCTGACAGACTGAAGCTAACATCCTTTGGCTTCTCATTTAAAAAGGGTATGCGCTATATATACATATATTTCGAGTCGCTATATATAAAGTCGAGGGTAGAGGATCCCCAGTGACTCTCTGCGTATTGTACGCCATATTCAAGCTATCGTATGCCTGTTTCATCTCGAATATGTTTGTGGAGGTAAACAGAAATGCTGTTTGGCCTGATAAGCAGGCCAAATGTACATCATTCGGAGCACTTGGCCTTAAAAAACTTTGCTTTGTATTCTATAGATTCGAGAAAAGGAACGTTAAAGAAGCGAGCGAATCGAAACGAGAAAAAGAGCTATTATCTCCTGTTTCTCTTGCGCCCCCCGTGCTCACATGTAAACATATATATATGTATATATGGTTGAAGCTCAATCTATGCTTCCAAAATTTGTATTCGGCCAAAAGGCGAAGGAAATGGAAAATGTTATAGGGGATTTGACTCGATCTCGGTTTATAGGTACGCTGTTAATATAAACATTTGGACAATTAACTTGGATATTCGTGAAGCTATGCTTTGTCATTAAACGTGAAATTCGTCATATATACAATTACGGAGCGGGCATGTGGTATTTTCTACTTTAGAGAGTTAGGCTGATTCGAACTGTTGAGCTGATATCTTTGCCCAGACCGATTTCTCAAAACCTTGTGAACGTACACCCTTCAAATCACTACAACGCCAAGAGCTCTTTTTTCATCTAATCAATATAATTATGGTTCTCTATGTTTTTATATGCTGCTCGTACGATACCGGATAATATATGACAACAGTCGTTGTTGTTGTTATTATTAAACCTTTCATAACAGTGTTTATATGCTTGTGTGTTATAGACGGGTTAATTGTGTATTTTTATTAACCCACTGATATACTTTATCTTATATTATTATACTGACAAAAGTATAATAAACGTCGGTATGTTGTAGGTATAAAAAGCATTGGTTTGTTCAGTTAAAATCTATCTGGACTGGTGGCAGCACGCGAATATTTTTGCATAATATAATTTGTAAGCAGTATTTGTATATATCTACATTTTTTCATGTGTGTTTTTTTAGATGACAGTATACCTAAAGGTCAGTCGTAACGACCGATCTTCTGAGCCGTTCAGGTTTACCGCAGTCACTTCTGGCTCTACAGGATTTCCAGGTTCAGCATCGTCAGACGCTGATTTCGAACCACTTAATCAAGGTTAGTTATTTCTACTCTAAAGCTTATTATATAAAAGTAGCTATTTGTAATACAGTTGACTCCTAACAGCTACGTTCGTCTAATCTATGCTCAATCTGCTGTACCAACTTGCATGATCAATGAAAAGCTTCAATGAACGATAATTATTATAATAAAATGGTGAACGATAATAGTATGGTAAAGCTATTATCCGTAAACTAAGTACCCAATGGATAGGCTATATGAATGATTTGTTCGTTCCTAAGCACGATCCTATGTTGCTGAAAAATTCCCCTCTGCTGATGCGGCTCTGACACAGGTCAATATAGATTTCCTCTAATAATCTGTGATTAACAAAATTGTTAGAGAATATTGTTATTCAGTGCGAGAAACACTTGCTTTACTAGTTAGAAAAACAAAATTAATAGGACATGTCGATTGATTCCTAATCAACCCAGTGATTCAGCTTGTACAATAGGGTTTCAACAGTTCATAGCCCATTCTGACGACGTTTGAAATGGCCAGCTTCTTCTCCCGCTAAGCTTTGAACACTTTGGACGATTCTCGCGGTATACGATTTGCGACTGTCGAAAGAGCTTTCCATGATCTTTTCGAAATAATTCCCAACAAGTTACGAAGGATTGTCTAGAACACTGATGTTTTGCAATAACAAGAAATTTAGTTATATTTTAGGTTGGAAGCAATGCGCAAGTTCTAGCTAGACAAAACTGGACACTGCGTAAGGTCGGTAAATGTTTCGACGACCAAGATGAATAATCTCGGAATAATTCGAAAAACATTAAACATTCTCCACCGAATAGCTTGCCCCTCATTGTCCTAGTTTCGGGTTGTAGGAAAACGTTTTATAAGTAGGGTTTTAAATTTTAAATGGCAGCCCAGTGTCCAGAATGCGAAGCGTTCCACTATATCATATCAAAACACTGTGTAAACTAACAAGTTTAGAGAGCATTATTGCTCTGGGGGTCACGAATGCTATGCCCCTAATCGTTTACGTAGAATTATTTCTAACAAAAAAATATCTCCGATCGTGATTGTTCTTGCTGTGTTGTATTGCACGAATGTGATATGATAGCTATTAGCCCACCTTTGGAGCACTGGCTTAAAAAGATCTGCGTGCCAGTTGTCTAACTCTGACTATGATTTATATCCATCATCTCTTTTCTTTTGTTGGAAGAATTCGAGCTGGTAGGCAGCTCACGCAGTCTCCTCATTCCGCTGAAGATTATCGGAGACGACGAACAAGAAAATGAGGAAACTTTCTACGTCCTTCTCAAGGACAGCCATTCGCGGAAGACTGTGGCAAAGGTAAAAGGTCAATCAAGTTGTTAGTACGTATATACCGAGTTAATCTCAATCCTGTTGCATTAGATCACGCCATTATCAACGGGAAACGATGCGCGTTAATTGACTTCTGTATGTTCGCTTAAATATATACAGAGCCATATGGTGTGCTACTGATGATACATTAGAACCCAGTAGTTTCTTATGGCTAATCTCCCATTATCCATATCGACTTACCCGCCTGCCCTTTACCAGCACCGCCAATTCTACGCTATCGCCGAAGAAGGTACAATGAGAAGTAAAGTAACAGCAGAAAAGCCCTTGATGCCGTCAACTTGGTTACCTTCGACTTCTTTTATTGCTCAGTTCCCTTCCCCGTTCGTTGGCGCTGTGCACGATCCGGGACCTTTCGTAAATACGGCTATAAGCGACGAGCAGCGGCGATAAATGCCGAGCGAAACCAGAAGACAGCGGCGAAGCTGATAACGTTCAAATGATTATAGTTTTTTTGATTGTCTCTTATCATCAGCTATATTATGACAGTATATCGTAGCATTATAAATTTCATAGGGAAGGAGGCCTTTTTTTTATTAGTTTGGTGCTTCAAGATAACACTAATTTGTATGTATTCGAATCGATCGGAAACAAATTAGCGAGCCTCTACCATGGTCCTAGTTATACGTGACATATACATTGACAATGTATGTTTCGTATAGAAAATGCTTCAATGAGAGACGAATTAGTCTGTGCTGGATCAAGTTGGTTTGAGATGTTTAGCATCATGACGATATGACCATGAACATGACCGAAGGTGTTTTATCTGTGGTAACTAATTGTTGACAAATTTTTAACCGTTGTACAGAGGACTATCTGAATCTCTTCCCGGGTCTATGTTAGAGCCTATAGGAAACGTTCTTAACGCAAGGGATACCTTGTTTAGACATGCCGCTATCACCGTAGGATTCTCTCGATTAAAGATAGAGAATTATATTACTTCACGAATTTCTGTATAAAGAAACTTACGGGACTTACCTCTTTTACGTCAGCCGATCGATTGACAGCAAAGATTAGAAGCGATGGAAAAAATGGCTTATATGTCTTAACATTTAACTCTAATTCCCCTCAGACTTCGGTGACCATCATTGATGGAGAAGTATCGGCCCATTCGCCTTATCTACGATTCATCTCTGCCCCAACCATTATATCCCTTCAGAAGGAAGGTCATCAAAGTGATACTGTAGCTGGCTATCAACAGCGCCATCGGTATCACAGTCACGCAACAAAGCATTCGGTGATTCTCAATAGAGGATACCCACTGCAGTGCATAACGGTTAGTGGGGTATCGCCAGACGAAAAAGAAAAGAGTACTCAAGCCTTTTCACTAAATCACTTTAAAACTAGGAAGCCAGAATGAACGGATTGATGTGTTGGCTACTTACGTCCTATTTAATTATACCGTTCGTGCGAAAAAAGTTAATTAATTTACCGTTATGATCGTCTGCTATTTGACAAGAAGTCATTTTTTGAAAGCAAGTCCCATTTCTGCATATGATGGAGCCAGAACGAGAAAAACGCACGAAAATTGATCAGGTGTATATGCATAGTAGTCGTACATATGTTGAACTCCCCTTTTTTTCTGTATCAGGAATGCGATGAACGACACCCTCATTTCGCGCCTACGTCTTCGCTCTGTGTGGCCCTTCGAACGCAAGAGGAGACCTTGAAGTCCGGTGGAAGCACAGGCCAAACTAGCGATGGAGCTGGGCCTCTATTTTTGTTACTGTCATTTCGCTGGAAGTGGGCCCTTCACCCATCGGACCCGCTCGAACCGCTCCGCATGCCCCCAAGATTTGTTGCGAATTCTTTGCAGCCTGGTCGACTTGAAAGCTTCCTTTTGGTGCCGGGTTCTCGTTTATCCTGCTCGGTCCGTCTCCAGTTGGCTCCAAAAGAGGGTTATTTAGGCAGAAATCGCGGCGAGGAACGTGAAAGTGCCCTGTACCACATTAGCGATAAAGGGGTTTGCCCCTCCCGGGATACTTCGAAAGATGGGGATACTCATGGAAATAAGACTATGTCTGCTAGAGGGACAATGGAGCCTTATGTTTCAACACTTAGACTCGTTGGTAAGTTGGTGATAAAATATTATTTTCGGTTAACAATCTAACCTAGCAGTATTAAAACTTATTCATTGCATATTTAAACGTACAAACCCTTTGTCGGAACCCTTCGTCATTATTACAGTTGCCAGATTACAAACCTGTTATACTGATTGTTCTTGATGGTGCATCATATAAGATTTGTTGAAAAACACAGCCTTGTTCGATCTCACTTGATTTTGTGTATGAAGTAGAGAATGCCTTCAAATGTTCTCTCTTTTTCAATAGAACGATCATCTGCGCCTCGTTTCGAGCTTTCGGTTTCAATTGCACACCAAGATGGACTTCTGCCGTTGATCTCTACGTTTCCTATTCTTAAAGAGGATTACACGTTTTCGGCACCTCAAATTGCCACTCTAACACGACATCCATGTTCAAATTTCATCAATATTAGGTGCGTGCTTTTTTGTCTTCAATAATTTGGACTTAATAGATGCGTTTTTTTAAAAAGGTTATTAATAAATAAATAACTACATTGTTCTGCGAATTAATCCAATATGCATTTTTGCGATGCAAAGGCTCAGATCTCCGCATCCTTAGGTACAAGGTTGGATCCTGTTGACTTGTGCCTAGTTGTACGATCTAGGCGAACCGAGACACCTTGTCCCATCCCGTTAGTTAATAAACTCGTAATGACAGTGCTGAGGATTGTTATCAAACTTCTACTTTTTTTTTTTTTTATATACCTATTTCAGTGCTTTACATTCTACACTTTCGTTAACGTCGTGTACTTGGCTGTTTCGGCGCGAATTTTCTTTGGAGGAACTTAACTTGAAATGCGGTGCTACCGTGGACATACACTCAGGTGGAGTAGCGGAGCTTACAGCTGCAGAAGCAGACAATGATCACGCAAGTTCCCTCAGCAACGAGGAAATGCAGGCATTAGAGAGCTCAACTTTTATGCTATCCTTACCGCTGCATGTCGCGTACCTCCAACGTACTCCATGCCCGTCCAACATGGCCACAAACAGTCAACTCCGCTGGAATCATGTCTCACTTTCGAACGTGCTACAACTCAGTTTTTTGTATAACAAGCCAACGTTTACAACTAATGCGGCTGATCCAAGCCAACTTACCACTAGCGATCTTCATGATGGAGGTGAGTGTCAAACTGAGACCGGGAATTTTAGGCTAATTATAGGTGTTATTTTTGCTACTGTTAGACATATTAGTTTAAACATGGCGATCAAGCGAAATGTCTGCATTTGTAAAACCGTCCCATATTTTTCGTAACGTTCATTTATTAAAGTATCATTTAGTCACTGGGATATATCGTCACACGTATATTTTTCAAACGAATTATTGGCGGAGAAGCTTCGTGCGAGGATGTTTGTGTATCCTAATGATTTCTCACTTTGGCAGGACGAAGGACATATCATTATTGTTTTTGTACGTCTCTGTGGACTGCAATCTCAAAGCAGTCTAGCGTGCGACGTGTGTCATAAACAATGATGAACCTAAGTTAGGACGACATGAGCTATTGACACATAGTCGTATCACACTTCCGTCTAACCCTTTCGTCAAGCGACCAAATGTCTGACGGCAGCGTGCTGACGATGACCGGTGCGTCGATGCTGTTACACAGAGTACTTATAGCGTAAAGGGCCTATGGTATTGACAGCCGCCGCACGTCCATCTATCCAGTGTCTACTCATCATCAACTCTATAACTCTGCCGCTCCACTCGGCGCAGTAGACACGTGATGATCTGTGGGTTTTCAGTCAGCTTGATGGAATCTATTATACGGGGCCGTCATATCATCACAGCTCCGTCAACATTAGTCCTCTCTGTTATCGACACCAGCAACGCACAGAGCAGGATCAGATAACAAAGAACAACAGTGTCAGCGACGATGACGATAACTACAACGCAACAATAACAACAACCATAATAAAACAACGACCTCAGAAGAGTTCGGTGGAGATTTATTGAATCACTGCTCCCTTATTTTCCTTCATCGTATAGCACTGGAAACTTCCATGTAACCAATACGTTATCGGCATTTTAGGCAACGTGCAATAGTTGTTACAACTGCACTAGCCGAGTAGCCTGTAAACCTAGCTATGCTGATCCACATGTGAGCCTTGGATCACTCCTATCTTCAACGGTCCGAATGTCTGATTAGACGCCCAGCTAGTGACTGGCTGGTGGTTTGTCTCTGTCGAGCGACGATAGTGTCATCCCTATGACCTGTAACATTTGTTGCTGGCTGTATTAAGCAGCGGGGCAGGCGTGGTAACTGAGAATACTTCCTTGTTGAGGTGTTGTGCCCCATGTCGTAACTATCTATCGAGCTACATAAATTATTATGCTTGTCCCTGTTGTCAGCCCAGGATCGGGCTTGACGATATCTGGAATTAGCCACCGTCACGGCATCGCTGACTACTCGGCGGGCACCACACGACGCGGGACGATAACACTTATGGTCTAGTCGTTGAAAATGGCTGACAAAAGCAAGAAGCAAAGCGAACCAATGAACGGTGTGTACTGGTGGAATTGTGCTGTTATTACTGCCGATCCATGGCGGCCGGTCGGTCAATCAGGGTGCGCGAACGACAAAGATGCGGGGGGTGAGGGGTAGACTAAAGAACTGAGACTGTTGTTGTGCCAGTTCACACGTCTTTCTAATATCCATGCTTTTTTTGTGGCTATACCGTATCGCAGTGATCTGTTGTCACCTTTCGATTGTTGGGATCTTTTGTGAGGCGGAAACATAGAAAACAGGAACAAATTATATGAAGGAGAACGTTCAAAGAAATTAAGTATTATTTAGTGCCATAAAAAATTCAACTGTGTATTCCGCAAAAAGAAAAACATAACTGAGATATAGGTACAAATGTATAAGGGATACGTAGAATTACATTCGCAGAATCCGTATTAACTATGCCCTTTCTATTTGGGTGTTTGGGGTTATGCGTTGACAAGCTTGCTTATGGTATTCTAATTGTACTACTAGTGCAGGCAAATAGGCCAAAAAGGGACGCTGAAATAGACTAACGTTCTTTAATACGTTGAGCAAATCGTCATGGAACAAGCTTGTCCCCTGTGGATAGCTGCAACTTTCCGTTGCTCTCCGATATCTCATGGCTCCGATCCGCGGCGAGTATTCGTTTGTTAATCGGTGATTCTCCTCCGAACAGAGTCCTTGTCTCTATTTCCTGTCGTCACTGCCCGTATCTAGCGACACACAAAAAAAAAATAGATTCCAGAATGTCTAAGTGCGTATCGTACAAACTAAACAATGCGGCAGCTTGCCACTTGGTACAAGCTTTTCAACGAAAATTTACTTCGGCAAAATAAAAACGACGGGAACACATAAATGATCAGTCCTTCCGAATGCAACAAATTACTAAGCAAAAACAATAACCAAACGAGTACAAACATTTCCATTGAATCTGTTGATTCCATACGTTCGGTCGGGTCTAAAATGGGCAGTCAAACATTCTGCGTTGAAGAAACCCTGTTCTCTGCACATATCACCATGTTGCTCTTGAAAGTGACTCATAATATTTTAGTATGAAGAATAACACTCTAGATGACAGACGCGATCAGCTTCATTTGGTTGCCCCAGAGAGATACCCGTAATCTGCCCGTAGCCGCCTCCTTACGTTGGCGGCTACGGGCAGATTACGATAGAGATGAACTATCAGTAATTGTCCAATAGGCTGTAATTTGGTCGTAATCTTTTGGATGCCAGCTAACGGCTTGTATTTCACTCTTCACCCGTTGAGCGAATAGAGACTAGCACAATCGAGGTCAAAGGGCACGTATCCTCCTATTGTATTCTATGATGGTTCCTTTTTTCTTATACAGCCGTCTAGAACAGGCGCACATATAGCAGACAGTAACAATGATTAGTCTCTCTGTTCGACTAACGTACGATAGATTCGGGTACGAGTTACCCCTGCCAACAAGCTAGAGCTATGCTAGCACCTGAACAACTAAAACTAAATAAATGGGTTTTATTAAGACAAGCTAAGCTAAATAAAACGGATATACAGTAAATAAGTGATTTAGAAAAAAAAAGAAACCACTAGCAGCGTATCAATGGACTGGTAGGCTATGCCTACGATTGCCAATAGCAAGCCTGCTAATAGTTGCTTTAATAACTTGTAGATAATTAGAAAATAAAAAGTGTACCGCAACAGAACATAGTGCATCTTCGTTTCGTCGATTCTATGAGTAAGCTGTATCTAAGCCTCAACTGTGAAAGTTTCTCGATTGATGGAGCCATTTATATTGACTAATAAGGCATCTACTTTCGATAAAATCCTATAACAGGTACACCTTATGCTGTTTAGGCAGGGTTCTTTTTTTCGTCATCTAGAACCTGATTTATTTAACCCAGCCGATTATTTCGAATGTTGTATATATTTCGTGCATGCCCATGGATGAGTTGTTATGGCTAATCTGCCTGACTTTTAATCCAGTTTCAAACATACCTAGCGCTTTACTGCCACCAATAGGAATTTTGGTCTGTTACAGCAAGCGTCGAGGTGGATGAGGTACGTCTGTCGGCTGACGGAATCCTTAAAGTTCGATTCCACTCAAATCATTTCCTGCGTACGAGAGGCCGACTTGTTCTGCACAGAAAAAAGGGTGGGTACGAAATGTGTCAATCAATCAGGTTAAGTGGTTAGACCCGGCCATATGTATTGCTCCCGGAGCTTATGTAAGCGCATACCGTGTAGAACAAGAATCTAGGCCTAACGTTTCTATAATTACGTATGCTGTCGCATATAGCTCAGCTGGGATTATGAAAAAGACAGATAGAGATTTCTTCGACTTCTACTTACTCTATAATAGATTTTGTAAAGGATTAAGCAGTCGCTATTTTCAACTAGTCCAAAGTATGGCCATCAAAACTCCAGAAGTTCCTTTAATAATTTATGCCCAGTTGATTACAATGGCTAAATAAGACAAAGACTTCTATTTAGAAGAACGAACCTAACAACGGTGTAGCCAAAAGGCGTTATGCGTGGAAGCGTTTATAGAACAGATTCGTTTAGTTAAAGGACTTCAACGTGCTGCATCAGAGAAAATAACCGGTAAACACATTAACACGACATATTGCTACTTTTCAGCACCTTTTCATTGTCGATACGATTTAAGACCGTAGAAATAAAAGGGAGCAATTGTATGCTTCGGCAAAGATGAATTTATTAAGGCACAAACACAGGGAAATCGGTACATGTCGTACCGCTGTTAATTCGCTTTATTTTGTCTCAGATCTATGGAACGCAAGTACTGTGTGGGCAACATCAGGATCCGACAAAATCCTATTCCGAATTCAACTGGAGCGTACGCTATCGGATAGCAAAATGGAATGGATACTCTATTCACAACAACCAGTAAGTTACCTGAAGTCTAACGAGCAGAATCCGGCAAAGTTCATGTTTCCGTTTCGAGGTTGAAGCGGGGAGCGTTTGTACCAAACAATCGACACTGCTACATATAGCTTCTAGGATTTTCTTCCACCAAATATCTGAGCATTACGTTTTTCATTTGTCAAGATGAAGACACGTTGCTGACACAAATAACCCAGGCTCCTATTTCGCGGTTAGAAAATTATTCTAATATATTTATCAACTTAGACAAGGAGAAAAACGATAATTAATAAACATTTGCATCTGCTTGGTTTACTTAGTGGTCTCCAGCAAGTTTTCATATTGTTCTACCTGGCAAGTGTTTACGTGAAATAAAATCTGAGAATGCAATAATTCCTAACAACTTTGCTCTCTATTTATAATTAATTATTTATTAAAATGATAACTATAATAAATGGTAAAGTTCGTAAATGAATACACAAATCATTTACTTTAGGTGATCCGCTTTTCGGGGAATGTAAGCGTCCTTATGTATCCGTGCCTCCTGAGCTCCGACGATTCGGACGAAACCGCCGAGGAATGCCAGCTTGCAACTGAGAGTCGATATCTGGAATTTCTGATTCCGGTAGGGACCTTATGTCACGGCTTCTCACAGTTTTGTGCGACGCCTATCATAGAAAATAGCGGTTCTACAACAAAAGAGTGCATTCGATCCCCTTCGGGACAATGCAATATATTGGTTTTTGCTTATTTATATAGAAACTTAATTCCGACTTATATTTTGCTATCAGATATAGTTGATCGAAGACCGCAAAGACATCTCTTCTTTAATGTTGAATTTTAATTATCAATATTATTTTGCACAACTATCTTGTAGCGCATAGAAAGACATCTAAACGTGTATCCTATTTTGAGGTAAGCTAGTAGAAAGTAGGAATAAGCCCAGAATATGGAGCGGGTATACTTGCATATTAGATTAATTTATCTCAAGTCGGACTGGTGAGTGAGGCTAAATATACAAGCACGTTTGCTCTCGTAATATTGATCACGAGTAGGTTCGAAACGTACGTGCACACAGACAGGACGGGATGGGTTCGTCGTATTTGTTAATAATGTAGAGCACGTGATGATGTCCGTGAACGGCAAGTTTTCTGTTCGATGGACTTGCTCTCTCCTACGTTTAGGAATCCGGAGTCAATTTTAGGGTTTTTCTTTCCCAGTAGTGAATACTCCGTTCACGATCGAAATGTCTTTTAGCTTTTCTATCAATTAGAAGAGTCAGGCAAAAGTTCTAGTTCTGTTCTAAGTTGAGCGATAGAAGCCCAGTCCTTACAGGTGGTAGGTGCTTTTAAGGGATTTAAAGGCTCGATGCCTGGCTGACTTAGGTTCCTTCAGAAGCTCTACACAGCGTAGCCTTCCATCAGGGCAACTTTTAAGTCAAAAAGACGCAAGGCAGCTAAGATGTCACCACAACGAAGAGCGCCCTTCTGGCATTTTTTAACATGTCGACATTAGCCATCAAGTAATTAGGAGCTGACCCTCGTACGGAAATTTGTTCGTGAGGGTGAGCGAGAAACTGGCATGCCTTAAAACCTTCCTGGATGCCTTAGTCCTCCTCGCCTAAACATCATTGCTATTGTTTTCGCTTCATTAACGGACAATCCGAGTTCGGTAGAGGTCACATGCAATTTAGCCATGGCTTACTACATTTGGGACTGATTACAACCATAAATTACTAAATGATCTGCGTAAAAGGTAACCTTAATTAATCTCTGTCTGTTCCTAATCATGGAAAACAAGTCCTTTAACAAGACTGGCAATAGTAACGGATTGACGTTATCCTCCCGAGCTACTCTAGTAGCATAAGAGAAATAGGGCAGCTCCATTGTTGGGCGTCATCCTAGTCTCCCGTAGTATTGCTACTGCAGATTTAAAATGTTTGGTGGCATCTTTACTTCTACCAGTGCTTCTAACGCAGTATTATTTAGCCTCTCAGACTAAGCTGAAGACTGCATGGAAATCTACAAGCCCTACAAAAACTGGTCGCGAGGGGCATGCCAGAGCCCTTGATATCGTCCATCAAGCTTAATCAAGCCATTATAGTAGAACGGTTCTGTCTGAAGCCATGTTGTTCTCCTTAAATTACTATTGTGCTCTTTTGAATATGACCAAGGTTCTTCGAATAAGGGGATGTCAATAGCCTATAGCAGGTATTTTTTTGGCTATGTACTATCAAAAAGTCGGCTGGTCAGGATCGCCAGTACCCTTGCTTCTTGAGAAGCTTGCTCCCTCTGCTTTCTCTGAGGGCATTGTTTGAAATGCTTAGATAATGTGTGGTGTCAAGAGCTCTTTTTGCTCGTAATTGTGATTTTGTTCGAGGCGGTGGTGATCAGGGGAGATTTTTCCGGGATAGTATGATTTACTCCAAAGCTATTTGCGAAGAGATGTATTAAGATTGATAAGTCTACCAAATCAAGTAAGCTAACGATGCATAACCAAAGACCCATTTCTAGGGAGGGCGTTCTAAAACAAGAGTTTTCTATAACCTGAGCTAACTTCGTGTGTCTGAAGTGTAGATTTTTTGACAAGTTATCCTAAGGTAGTCCGAAAGAAATTTTGTCGCCGGATGCGTATTAGCCAGGGCTTTAGCTATTAGGCGTAGTGTTCGATGTAAATGCGCTTGGACAGCGGAATTATTTCATGCACCCGCGTGAAGAGTGCCTCTGGATTAAGACGTCGCGAGAGCAGTTGTCTTTTTGCATCGAAGGAGCTAGAGATTCCTAGAAAACGTGAAGCACTGATATGTACGCTCCTTTCTTAAACGAGTGTCACCGCGGAACTTTATCCTGTTGGGTCCTATGGTTCTAGCCCGTAAATGTCGGGAAAGCGCTTGGACTGGCGATATAGCAACTTTGTGAGGCGGTCATGCTACCAAATGATGGTTGGTCTAATCGGAGTTTAGAACGTCGCAAATGATCGCTAGAACCGCAGGCGGGACCCTTCGCAAACCGTAAAGGAGCTTCTTGGTCGCAGTGAGGATCAGCTCTGCTTCCGGCAGAAGAACAGTAGTCTGTCTATATATATATA